AGAAGGGGTATGGGTGTGGGTTTGGGGCTCATTATGGGCCTCAGGGAAGTTGAAGGAATCAATAACACAAACAAGTGAATAGGAATTCACTGTTGGTTGGGGGCCATGGTGGCTCACACCTGCAATCCCAACACTTTAAGAGGCCACAGTGGGAGGATTGCTTGAGCCCAGGAGTTCAAGACCAGCCTGTGCAATATAGTGAGACCCCGTCTCTACAAAAAAAAAAAAAAATTCAAAAATTAGTCAAGCATGGTGGCGCATGCCTCTAGTCCCAGCAACTCAGGAGGCTGAGCGGGAGGATCGCTTGAGCTCAGAAAATGGAGGCTGCAGTGAGCTGAGATCACACCACTACACTCCAGCCTAGGCGACAGAGCGAGACCCTGTCTTAAAAATAATTAAAATGAAGAATTAACTGTTTACTGGATCCTGAGCTTAAGACTGGCTGAATCTGGTCAACTGTGAGATAAGTTAAAAGATGAATGGAAAATAAAATATCAGGCTGGGCATGGTGGCTCATGCTTGCAGTCCCAGCACTTTGGGAGGCGGAGGCAGGAGGATAGCTTGAGCCCAGCAGTTCAAGACCACCCTGCACAACATAAGGAGAACCTGTCTCTACAATTTTTTTTAACTAGCATTGTGTGGTGGCGTGCACCTCTGGTCCCAGTCAGTACTCGAAAGGCCGAAGGAGGAAGACCATCTGAGCCCAGGAGGTCGAGGCTGCAGAGAGCCGTGATCGTACCACTGCACTCCAGGCTGGGTGACAGAGCCAGATCCTATCTCAAAAGAAAAAAGAATTACATTTAAAAGTTTTTTAATGTTTTTAAAGAAAATCTCAGTAAAGGGGAGCATGTAAGAACTGGATGAAACCTTGAATACATTATGATGTGAAACCAAGTGTATCAAAAGATAGTGCTTGAAAACAACAAATGTTCCCACCTGACTCAGACTTCTTTATCGTTGTTTTATTTAAAATGTTATTGTCTCTGATTAGAAAATACAGTCATGAGCACTAAAACTTGAAATGATGTGAAAATGCATCCATTAAGCAGTGTTGCCCCACCACCCTCTCCGTCAGTCCTATCTCATGGTGGTGGGGAAAATGAAGACAGAACTCTTTGCCTTGCTTTGCAATCCCTCCTTTGAAGGCCTTCTGTCCCAGGAAGCCAATGTTCATTTGATGTGGAAGAGGGACCTGTGTTTAACCAGAAGCTGTCCTCCCCTCGATCCCCTTCCCATGGCTTACACACCGAAGGGAGAGGAGATGACCAGAGGAGAAATCAGGGGAAGAAAAGGCAATGGGGGAGGCAAAGGGAAAGGAGAGGAACACTTAAAATATACAGTGACATTTGAGTAGGATTCTCTACTCCAAGACTTCTCTGGGAAAAGTGTCCAGAACTGACCACACAGGTGCTGATGGTAGAAACAACACAGAACCAAAACCCTGATCTAGTTGCATTAACTCCATTAGGCCTGAGTTCCTCTGTAAAATGAAGACCGTGGAGGCACCAACTGGAGGATTTCTGTAACCTTCTCAAACTCTAAAATTTTTGTCACTGGACTGTTCCACTTTGAAGGGTCAAGAAAGAAATCTGGAGGTTGCAGAAGTCAGGGTCAGGCACACACACACGCAAATCCAGCAGCATCCTTGGAACATCCTGAAGTTAAGAAAGGCACAGCACTGTCTGCCCCGGATAGAAGGAATTCCAGAAAACAGCCGCGAGGTTGGGTCACAGAATTTCCAAAGAGGGCAATCGACAAACTGGGGGTTGATTTCCCGGTTCCTGGATCTTAGCAGTCAACACTCCAGAAGGTTTTTTTTTTTTTTCTGGAGCTGCCACCTCCAATTCTGAAATAATCCCATGTTTCAGATTGGGGCCAGAACAGTGGCAAACCTGCAGACCCTGGCGGCAACAGCAGGGCAAGGAAGGGAAAGGTCAGCTGGGCACAGGCCAGTTCTCAGCAGTAATGACAGGTCTAGAAATGAAGGAAGGAAGCTCAGAATGAATGCACGGGGGAAATGGGTTTTGCTGATGCATTTCCAGGGCCGGGCCGTACTCTTTGTTTTGGCACACTGTTCCTGACAAACAGCCAGTGTTCTCTACACATAAATACTAGTCGACGTTAACAACAACAGCATATGAGACCGTTCTCCATAAAGATGCCAGATTGCATGCAAATGGACTGGAAATACCTTGGAGGGTTTCACAAAAATAAGACAAAGGGCAAAGGAACTCTGCCAAAGGAGATGGAGAGCAATTCTTTAAAGATAGTAGGAGGGAGGAAGCAAAGAGCTCATAAATACAAGCCTCTTAAAATGGGACGCATTTACCTCGCGCCTACTGGGTGTCTGCAGCTCAGCTTGGTGCCCCACACAGGAAAGCTGCTTTAAGAGGCTGCCTTTGCAAGGCTCCGAGGCCCCGAAGGTTGATACCTGGAGTGTCAGCGCCATCTAGTGGAAACATGGGGTATGGTCGCTTTGGACAGCCTCAGTCTAAAATGAGAGGCAGAGACAAACGGTCTATTTCGCATCTCACTATGAAAGATAGAGAAAGGCTGTTGAGTTTTATTTCATCATCGCCCGTTTAGGTCAAAGAGATGCCACTTTGGCTTCCAGCCATCAATCAACTGG